TTATTATTGAGGCACATATACAGCACCGGAATTAGTCAAAGGTGACAGTACCGTCTGCGGCAAGGAACGTATTAGAAATTGAATATTAGATGCAAAGTAAAGTACAGAAGAAAAATGACGTGGAAATTAGAAGGTTGTTTTACTACCCAAGGATAGGATTTCTCATTGATTCGGCGATGGATAATTTAATTGATTCATGTTTTCCTTCTTGCCCAACAACCATGACACATAACTGAACATGACCCAAATGGAGATAAGGAAATTATAATTAGTTATGATCAGTAGAAGGGAGAGTATATTTAGCTGTAAGAATCAAATAAGAGGATAAAAGAAGATATTCCTGTCATTTTTTTTTAGTTTATTATTGCTAAAATTTAAGAATTCAGCGTACTATGTCGCCTGCTTACTTTTTCATGATTACTGATTAAAAAGAATTAGATCATCTTCATAATTTCTCTCGACCTGGCTTTTCCATCTTACGTTACAAGCATAGAATATTGTGGATTATATCTACATATCTATATTGATATTTAAAAATAAAGAGATAGCAAGGTAATGTTTGATAACAGAAGGACCAACCTGCATTGATTTCCCTGATGACTTGTTTCCGGGAGCCTTCGTCGTTGCCATAATGTCGGCCTTCCCTGTTCTTTGATCTCCTTTCTTCTGGAAGCACTAAGAATTTTCCAGATTCCATAAAAAAATTGTACTATAGCTTCAGAATTCTCTATTTATATATTTCATTAAAAATATTTATTTATATCCTTTGCGTGTGAGAGAGAGAGAGAGACAAAGAGAGAGAACGCCCGTGAGAGTTACTTTATGAAGTCATGCTTGTAAATGTGCCATAGGTAAGTTAGGTTAATGGCCACGGTACTTCAAGGTGGTTTGTTCATAAACTGAGCAGTACTCCACCAAAGCCCCATGTTAACCATCGTCGGTGGTTGCCATTCTATGGTTTGCCACTCTACTCCGACCTGAACTGAGCTTATTACTGATAGCTGCAGTCCGCTCCACCATCGGCTGCCCTGGGCTTTTGCTTGGCTATCCTTCCACGGGTGAATAACCGTCTTAGGCTGGACACTTCACTCCCTCGTTCCAGACATTTCACTGACGAGAGCTTACCAATCACGATTGTTGATCTGTATATTTATGTGTGAATGTATGTGCATTCTGATGAATATAACTATGAAAGTGCAATATTGTGTTTAATATGTCCCGAGTTAAGCTATCCTATAGGATAACATATAAAGGTTAATCACTAGGTCCATGTGAATGGACCTAGTGAGGGTTCAGGTCTTCCAATACCATGGGGTATGAGTCGATCAGAACCTCTCCTTCAAGTTCAGTCAACCAGGTAAGGTAAAACTGCCATGATAGCAATGACCAGGAGATATATAACCACAGGACACAAAGTGCTAAGATCATTCTATGCAGATGCTGCCTGCCTCATTGTGGACTTCTGTCACCCTAATTACTACCAAGCCAAGACTCAAAGAAAAACTGGAGACAGTCCAAAATGAAGCTCAACCTCGAGGCAAACCTTCTACCATTGGACTAATCTAATGTAATGGCAGCAAGACTATTTTCCAAAGTTATTCAGAACATAGACATCAGACAAAAAGCATTCCGATGCCTAGAACTAGATTACAAACAACTCCTGGGTGTCACATAATGTCATGTTGATAATACGCTATCAGCTCAAAGAGCAACTAGTTAAGGGCATAGATTCCCCCCACCCTGACTATATGTGGGCACAGACCCTGACTGAGTTTTCAGCCATGAGGTTGTCAGAAAAAAAAAATCAGTGCCCCATGCATAGAATAAAGGTAAAAGCCGTGAGAGTCACTGCTGCCATCATTACGGCAACAACCTGTACTTAGTCGCTCAATTAATAAAGAAAAAAAACAGTGAAAGTGTCAGTTTCTCTCAGTCTGATAAGCAAAAAAGAATAGCGCTTTTGGCAGGGAAATCCTTGCACTATACTCTGCACTTAAGCACTTCCATCCATACATGGAGTCAAAGGAATTCCACATCCTGACGCACCACAAGCCTTTCACTTTCGCCCTACACTCACGGAACCGCCGTCAATCCCTTCGCAAAGAGCGACACCTGGACTACATTTTGCAATTCACGACAGACGTCTATCACATTTGGGGCATGGATAACCAGGCCACCGAATCTTGTTAGCAGAGAACAACGCCAGGACACTTTTCTTACGCTTGAGAGTCCAGATCCCGCACTCTCGTGATGACCTCTTCAATGACGTATCCCTAGCTACCCTTGCCCATACATCCCACCTTTCCTCCACAGGCGATTTTTCGACGCTTACCCCTACCATCGCGGCATTCGGGCCACCCAGCACCATATATGCACAGCAAAGTCATCTGGCCCGCAATCAATAGGGACGTTCGGCAGTGGTGCCACTCACGTATCTAGAACAAGATCCAAAGGCATACCAAATCCCCCCCTTCAGACTTTTCCCATTCCAGATGAGAGGTTCTAGCATATTCACATCGAACTAGCTGGACCCCTGCCCATGGACGACGGCTACTGCTACATCTTAACAATGACAGACCACTTCACTAGATAGCCAGAGGCTATGCCTATCCGCGACATCACTGCAGTGACAGTCACCAGGACCTTTCCGTTTCGGCACCTTGGCCACCGTCACTACTTACCGGGGCGCTCAGTGCGAGTCAGAGCTCTGGGGCCAACTAATGGTCCTTCTAGGCTCCATGAGAATCAGGACTACCGCCTACCACCCCTATGCCAACAACATGGTTGAACACTTCCACCCCCCACATGAAGCAGGTCCTGACATCCTCCTTAGACTACTCCTGTTGACCGGCAACACTCTTTACTCTATTGCTCGATTAATAGAGAGAAAAATCCATTGAGACTGTCAGTTTCCTACAATGTTATTGTTGATACTTGAGCATACTGTGTGGAATGAGGTATTCAATAGTTTTCCCTAACTCGCCCTATGCCTGGCAGTGCATTCTGCAACCAATCAGTGTTTATAACCAGAAATGATGTCAGTAACCAAACTCTAAACGCGTTGGACTATAGTACCTATAAAAGACGGCTATGTTTTATCCTTAACCTTAACCATTTTGGGAATCCATAAACATCGCCTTGTGAACCAAAACCTTCCTTACCCCCAAGCCCCTCCCTATCACTGCATTTGCATACTTCTAATGGCCTTAGGTGTTAAGGCAGCAAAAAAAAAAAAATAAAATAAAATAAAACCACTTCGTATGACTTGACTACAGAAATTCTCACCATGTTTCAATGACTATCATGATTGACACAAAGATTTTATGCACCCTTAGAATAGATTTTTGTATCAAGAAACTTATAACGCGATCCTTACTTAATCAAAATATAAATCCCTATCTCAGACTACTTGAACTATATCTGAAAAGTATTTGATTGGCTGGCCGGGGTGTATCACATTGTATCAAGGTAGAGGCATACAGACTGATACAAACCTAAAAGATGTTTCAACAGATTCCAATAATGTGTGCATAAAGGGCAAACATGTGTCAAAGTGTTAGTGGTTTCGGAAATACAACAGATAAAGGACTTATGGTAAAAGCAAAAACAATGCCTGATTTGCAGGGCAGTTGGCATGTAAAATCTACAAGAATATATTTCATTTTCATAACTATTTATATGGAGCTTTCATCAGCAAGGATGCGACCAACCTTTCCTGACGTCAGATTTACTTGGACTCGAGTAATCATGATCGTCATAATCATAGTCGTCTTTGCTGAAAGTTCTCAGATCTCTTGAGTCTGCTAAAATGAGAAAAAAACAATCTGCATGAAATTGTGACTGAAAGTAATTCATATAATGTTGTCTACATATGCGCATCGCATACACAGTTCATACAAGAAAACTTTTGTTTACTGTGGTAGATGTGTAAAATATTTGTGGATATATTCATTACTGTTATCATTATTTATAAGGTGTTTTCATCAACAAGGATCTGACTAACTTGGTCGTTTTTTTCTGAAATCTTCCTCACTGGATGAATCAAAGTCACCTTTCCTGGAAGTCTTTGGGTATTTCCTTGACACTGCAAAGATGAGGGGAAATATTCTAATTGAATTTTCTAAAAAGAAAAGAAACCGGAACATGCGTACAAGATAACTTTTTGTTTGCTGTGGTAGACATGTAAAATATGTGTGAATATATTGTTAGTAATATTATTATCTTTACAAGGCATTCATCAACAAGGATGTGACTAACTTTGGCACTCTAAAGAAGAGGGAAAATATTCTGAAAAGAAAAAATTCTAAAAAGAAAAGACACCAGAACATAGATGTGTATGACTGTGCACATGTGCATATGTGGATGTGCGTTTATGCGTCTGACAATAAAGAAAATCGATGTATAATATAACTGTTGAGGATTCGAATCTGCTTGGGAAGTTAATCTCAAGGAATGCCAAACTACACCATTCAGCCACACTGACCACCATCTCTGGGTAATACCTAGGCTGAGTGGGTTTCAATCTATATCGGAAGGGAAAGTTATATTTAAAGTCTGTGTCTACGAAGTTTGTCCACGAAAGAAGCAGGGTTTGTATACGAATGCAATCTGATAATCGGTATACAAAAAAAAACGGTATACAAAAAAACGGGTGTCAGGTAATAGCATCTTGGCTTCGTACAAGTAATAATAAGTGAAAATTTAAGCACTAGATTGAGATCTTATGATGCCATATACATATTCATAACTAACATATTTAGTGTGAAGTATGTGCATTGGCATATTCAACTTACATACCTAAAAATACACTGATTTCTCTAGTCCTCCATTTATCTGCAAATGTATGTAAACACTTACGAGAACCAATATTCACTATGTATAAGGGCACTTGTATAGATGCAAGGGCTTTTGTTTACACCGTGTGTGTGTCCTTGGTTTTGATCACTTACTTCTGGCTCGATTCTCCATCTCAGTAGATGTGTTTGGGTTTCTCTCTTCTCTGTCACTCGCCCTTTTTCCGTTAATACGTGGAGATTCAGCCTTTTTATGCTCTGCCGATATAAGGAAGATATAAGAATTCATCAGAAGTAAGTTTTGCTGGCATATAGAATGTGTTCGGAATTAGTGTCTCAGATCTAGGAACCTAAACCACTAGGCACCCGAAATACGTGTAACCGAACTCTTAACAAGATGTATAGACATTATGTAGACATTACCTCCAGATTTCGGCCTTTTCGTTATCCTCTCTTGTTTAGGCTTCCCTACTTGCTTGGTTTTGCCTTTCTCCCCTCGAGTGTCTCTAATTTTTGTGGCAGTCTAGAAAAAAGGAGGCACATTTTATCATATTCTAGGTCAGTTTCAGACGGAAAGAGCCAGACCAACAGGCTTGAGTCTCATTAGCAAGTGCTTTAAATTTGTTATTTACTTACATTTATCAGTGACCCTCTCCTTTACAGGTACCTTTAACCAGGGGCCTCAACTAGGGGGTGGGATGAGAACTGCCTCCTTCAAGGACTGGCTTGCCCTTTTCCCTAAGATCCACACTCTTTTTTTACACTTATATAGAGGTCCGGTTATAGCTGGAAAATGCCCTGTATTTATTTTTTTCCCATTGCTTGGGTACCTGCCTCTCCCCCCTCCCCACACGAAAAAGCTGAAATGACGTGCTGATGAAAAAAAAATCGGGTTTGGAATAAAAATTGTGGATTTAAGAAGAAGCTGTGAAACTGGAAAAAGGTCTTACAAAAAGAACAAAATAGAGAGCTATTGACAAAAAATCCAAATGCTTGGATCTGTTAGCAACTGTTTATTCTCTGCATTTAATCCATCTTTATCAGTTATGCAAACTATAGCACTGAAATTTAGTTGATATGCTCTACGATCTAAAGAAAGTAGTAACACATCTGGAAGTTTACCCCTGAAGTTGATGGTTTCTTCGCCGGTCTAGTAGATTGTGGCGGTGTTCCTTTTTGTCTTGGAATATCTTGGTTTGTCCCTGATAAAACAAGACTTTATTGAAGTCTATTGCAGGAAAAAGGCTGTTAAGAAATCGTTTTAGTTAAATTGTGTTCAAACCTATCATTTTTGTCAAAGTTTACCTTTTAACTATTTCTATTCTTATGGTTCTTCATCTTAATCTGCAATTTATCATTATCATTTTCATGATTTTTAGCATTACAGTCATTATCACTGGGTATTATACAACAACAATAACACCAATAATCATTATCATTAGTTTTATCACTTACCCAACTTCTCTGCAGGTTTTGCAGGCGATGGAGTCTTTCCTTGAGATTTCTTACGCTCGCGTTTATGCAGCTGTGTTTGGTTACCGAGATCTTTCTTCCGTCTGGACTCCTTGGGATTCTGCTTCGAGCGCTGCTCTTTAGGGCCTTGCTGTTCTGGCTGCCTGCTGCTCTCCTCGCTACTTTCGCTACCTTCTTTATCCTCCTCATCAGACTCGCTGTCTTGCTCACCACTGGGATCGTTGTCTTCTTCATCAGTTGTATACTCGTACCCTGCACGATCGCTTCCTTCACTCGACTGCCCTTCCTCTTCATCTTCTTCACTCCCTTCACTTGACTGCTCTTCATCTTCTACACTCCTTTCACTCGACTGCCCTTCCTCTTCATCTTCTTCACTCCCTTCACTTGACTGCTCTTCATCTTCTACACTCCTTTCACTCGACTGCCCTTCCTCTTCATCTTCTTCACTCCCTTCACTTGACTGCTCTTCATCTTCTACACTCCTTTCACTTCGACTGCCCTTCCTCTTCATCTTCTTCACTCCTTCACTTGACTGCTCTTCATCTTCTACACTCCTTCACTTGACTGCCCTTCCTCTTCATCTTCTTCACTCCTTCACTTGACTGCTCTTCATCTTCTACACTCCCTTCACTTGACTGCTCTTCATCTTCTACACTCCCTTCACTTGACTGCCCTTCCTCTTCATCTTCTACACTCCCTTCACTTGACTGCTCTTCATCTTCTACACTCCTTTCACTCGACTGCCCTTCCTCTTCATCTTCTACACTCCCTTCACTTGACTGCTCTTCATCTTCTACACTCCTTTCACTCGACTGCCCTTCCTCTTCATCTTCTACACTCCTTCACTTGACTGCCCTTCCTCTTCATCTTCTACACTCCTTTCACTCGACTGCCCTTCCTCTTCATCTTCTTCACTCCTTCACTTGACTGCCCTTCCTCTTCATCTTCTACACTCCCTTCACTTGACTGCCCTTCCTCTTCATCTTCTACACTCCCTTCACTTGACTGCTCTTCATCTTCTACACTCCTTTCACTCGACTGCCCTTCCTCTTCATCTTCTACACTCCTTTCACTCGACTGCCCTTCCTCTTCATCTTCTTCACTCCCTTCACTTGACTGCTCTTCATCTTCTACACTCCTTTCACTTGACTGCCCTTCCTCTTCATCTTCTACACTCCCTTCACTTGACTGCTCTTCATCTTCTACACTCCCTTCACTTGACTGCTCTTCATCTTCTACACTCCCTTCACTTGACTGCTCTTCATCTTCTACACTCCCTTCACTTGACTGCTCTTCATCTTCTACACTCCCTTCACTTGACTGCTCTTCATCTTCTACACTCCCTTCACTTGACTGCTCTTCATCTTCTACACTCCCTTCACTTGACTGCTCTTCATCTTCTACACTCCCTTCACTTGACTGCTCTTCATCTTCTACACTCCCTTCACTTGACTGCTCTTCATCTTCTACACTCCCTTCACTTGACTGCTCTTCATCTTCTACACTCCCTTCACTTGACTGCTCTTCATCTTCTACACTCCCTTCACTTGACTGCTCTTCATCTTCTACACTCCCTTCACTTGACTGCTCTTCATCTTCTACACTCCCTTCACTTGACTGCCCTTCCTCTTCATCTTCTACACTCCCTTCACTTGACTGCCCTTCCTCTTCATCTTCTTCACTCCTTCACTTGACTGCTCTTCATCTTCTACACTCCCTTCACTTGACTGCTCTTCATCTTCTACACTCCTTCACTTGACTGCCCTTCCTCTTCATCTTCTTCACTCCTTCACTTGACTGCTCTTCATCTTCTACACTCCTTCACTTGACTGCCCTTCCTCTTCATCTTCTTCACTCCTTCACTTGACTGCTCTTCATCTTCTACACTCCTTTCACTCGACTGCCCTTCCTCTTCATCTTCTTCACTCCTTCACTTGACTGCTCTTCATCTTCTACACTCCCTTCACTTGACTGCTCTTCATCTTCTACACTCCTTCACTTGACTGCCCTTCCTCTTCATCTTCTTCACTCCTTCACTTGACTGCTCTTCATCTTCTACACTCCCTTCACTTGACTGCTCTTCATCTTCTACACTCCTTCACTTGACTGCCCTTCCTCTTCATCTTCTTCACTCCTTCACTTGACTGCTCTTCATCTTCTACACTCCTTTCACTCGACTGCCCTTCCTCTTCATCTTCTACACTCCTTTCACTCGACTGCCCTTCCTCTTCATCTTCTTCACTCCTTCACTTGACTGCTCTTCATCTTCTACACTCCTTTCACTCGACTGCCCTTCCTCTTCATCTTCTTCACTCCCTTCACTTGACTGCCCTTCCTCTTCATCTTCTACACTCCCTTCACTTGACTGCTCTTCATCTTCTACACTCCTTTCACTCGACTGCCCTTCCTCTTCATCTTCTTCACTCCTTCACTTGACTGCTCTTCATCTTCTACACTCCCTTCACTTGACTGCCCTTCCTCTTCATCTTCTTCACTCCTTCACTTCACTTTGACTGCTCTTCATCTTCTACCATCCTTTCACTCGACTGCCCTTCCTCTTCATCTTCTTCACTCCCTTCACTTGACTGCCCTTCCTCTTCATCTTCTACACTCCCTTCACTTGACTGCTCTTCCTCTCCATCACTTTCATCTAAACTTGTACCTTCATCAGATTCCTCACTCTTGGAATACTCATCCGAGTCATCTGGCTGGGATTCTTGTGGTTTATGTTTTGTGTTCTTTCCATTTCGCTGTGTGCCTTTTAGCTTCTTTTGCTGATTCATCTGAGCCGGTAGGTAATTTAGTCAATATTAGTGACAGGAACTTTGGCAGATGTAGAAACAGTACTTTCAGCAGGATCAGTAGCTAAATCTTTGGTTGAGTTAGTTGTATATGCACACACACATACTTACATATTATTTATAAAAAATCCTCGATAATAAAATTGCTTTAAGGTTTCGCTTTAAAATAATAATAGAATCTTTAATATTTGTAAGAACGTACAGTTGCCTGCACTTATAAATGGCACATCCTTTTATCGGTGAACAGTAGAAGTGGCATTAAATGTTTAGATTCTTGTATTACAGCTTGAATTGATTGGAGCTAGAGATACCTAATATAAAAATTCAAGTAAAATTATCAAAGCAGCACTCTGAAAATCTATGTATATTATATAATTTATCACATATAAAAGATACTGTTGTGTTGAGTATGTGCATATCATTGTACCGAGGGACTTGCTCCTCTCTAGTGACTGCCATTAGTCACCCCTTCATTACTTATTTCATAATATATGACATTTACTGTAATTTTATTCGCTTGTCCTTGCTAGCCATACCCTGTTAGCCTCAGGCACAGCCTCCCTGCCCCCACCAGCTATATAAGTGCATCCTATGACCTAAGGTATTGCCTGAGGCAATAAAAAAGTGAATCAATGGACTAAGATAACTTATCCTGTTGAGTCCTAAAATATTATTTGCTTACTGCCTAGTTAGAAATATGACACACAAAAAAAAAAAAAAAAAAATAGCCAGTTTCTGACAAACATACTGTCAAATAGAGGTTGTAATACTTGCCCAATATTGTAAGGGATAAGAGAGACAAAGGACAAAGACACAAAGAGAGGTAAAGAAACACAGCATCTTCTGTACCTGACGTAAAATTTAATCCCAAGAGAGACAAAGGTGAGGTGTGCTTGAGGCCTTAATTGTTCTGCGGCGCCCCAGGTCACAGCC